TACCACTGTTAATAATGGTATTCTGTTCTGGATCTATAGGGGGAGTCTACCACTGTTAATATGGTATCTCTGTCTAGGATCTATAGGGGGAGTCTACCACGTTAATAATGTTATATCTGGTCTGATAGACCTACCTGTATAGTACTCTGGCTAGGACTATAGGGGGAGTCTACCACTGTTAATAATGGTATCTCTGTGTCTAGGATCTATAGGGGGAGTCTACCACTGTTAATAATGGTATCTCTGTGTCTAGGATCTATAGGGGGAGTCTACCACTGTTAATAATGGTATCTCTGTGTCTGGGATCTATAGGGGGAGTCTACCACTGTTAATAATGGTATCTCTGTGTCTAGGATCTATAGGGGGAGTCTACCACTGTTAATAATGGTATCTCTGTGTCTGGGATCTATAGGGGGGAGTCTACACTGTTAATAATGGTATCTCTGTCTCTAGGATCTATAGGGGGAGTCTACCACTGTTAATAATGGTATATCTGTGTCTAGGATCTATAGGGGGAGTCTACCACTGTTAATAATGGTATCTCTGTCTCTAGGATCTATAGGGGGAGTCTACCACTGTTAATAATGGTATATCTGTGTCTGGGATCTATAGGGGGAGCCTACCACTGTTAATAATGGTATCTCTGTGTCTGGATCTATAGGGGGGAGTCTACCACTGTAATAATGGTATCTCTGTGTCTAGGATCTATAGGGGGAGTCTACCACTGTTATAATGGTATCTCTGTGTCTAGGATCTATAGGGGGAGTCTACCACTGTTAATATGGTATCTCTGTGTCTGGGATCTATAGGGGGAGTCTACCACTGTTAATAATGGTATCTCTGTGTCTGGGATCTATAGGGGGAGTCTACCACTGTTAATAATGGTATCTCTGTGTCTAGGATCTATAGGGGGAGTCTACCACTGTTAATAATGGTATATCTGTGTCTGGGATCTATAGGGGGAGCCTACCACTGTTAATAATGGTATCTCTGTGTCTGGGATCTATAGGGGGAGTCTACCACTGTTAATAATGGTATATCTGTGTCTAGGAGCCGTAGGGGGGAGGAGCCATCCTGACCATGCCTGGGGAGAGGAGAGTGACAAGGTGAGAGCAACACACACACACACACACACACACAGTCATAATATCGTGCTCCAACAGCTCCTCTAGTGTTTACAGATATGACCTCATTGTGAAAGAGAGACACTGTCAGGTCCTTACACATACCTCTGGGCCATGTGGAGTGGACTGGTTTCTGTGGAGGGGACTGGTTTCTGTGGAGGGCGCTGGTTTATGTGGAGGGGACTGGTTTCTGTGGAGGGCGCTGGTTTCTGTGGAGGGCGCTGGTTTCTGTGGAGGGCGCTGGTTTATGTGGAGGGGACTGGTTTCTGTGGAGGGGACTGGTTTCTGTGGAGGGCGCTGGTTTCTGTGGAGGCGCTGGTTTCTGTGGAGGGGACTGGTTTCTGTGGAGGGCGCTGGTTTCTGTGGAGGGGAGTGGTTTCTGTGGAGGGGAGTGGTTTCTGTGGAGGGGAGTGGTTTCTGTGGAGGGGAGTGGTTTCTGTGGAGGGGAGTGGTTTCTGTGGAGGGGACTGGTTTCTGTGGAGGGTGCTGGTTTCTGTGGAGGGCGCTGGTTTCTGTGGAGGGGACTGGTTTCTGTGGAGGGGAGTGGTTTCTGTGGAGGGCGCTGGTTTCTGTGGAGGGCGCTGGTTTCTGTGGAGGGGACTGGTTTCAGTGGAGGGGACTGGTTTCTGTGGAGGGCGCTGGTTTCTGTGGAGGGCGCTGGTTTCTGTGGAGGGCGCTGGTTTCTGTGGAGGGGACTGGTTTATGTGGAGGGCGCTGGTTTCTGTGGAGGGGACTGGTTTCTGTGGAGGGGACTGGTTTCTGTGGAGGGCGCTGGTTTCTGTGGAGGGCGCTGGTTTCTGTGGAGGGCGCTGGTTTCTGTGGGAGGGGAGTGGTTTCAGTGGGGAGGGGAAGTCGGTTTCTGTGGAGGGGACTGGTTTCTGTGGAGTGCGCTGGTTGGGAGATGTTGATTGAACTGAAGTGGAGGGAGGAAATGAAGGAATATGGAGGGAGGGAAAGAGGGAATGCAGGGAGAGGAAGGAGGGAGAGGAAGGAATACAGAAGGAGAGGAGGAAGAAGGGAGGTGGATGGAGGGAGAGAGGAGGTGCTGCTAATGATTTCACCTCCAGGTGTTGGTGTGAGTGGGGGAACTAGAGGAGGAATGGTGGCCCAGGAAAATACACAGATTTGAAATCAAGAGGGGGTGGGAGAAATAAAGTGTGTGTGTGTGTGCTTATGTGTGGGTCAGAGTGTGGTGTGGGGTCAGGGGTATGTGTGTGGGTCATGGTGGTGTGGGGTCAGGGTGTGTGTGGGTTCAAGGGTTTTGTGTGGGTCAGGGGTGTGTGTGGGTCAGGGTGTGTGTGGGTCAGGGTGTGTGTGGGTCAGGGTGTGTGTGGGTCAGGGTGTGTGTGGGTCAGGGTGTGTGTGGGTCAGGGTGTGTGTGGGTCAGGGTGTGTGTGGTGTGTGTGTGTGTGTGTGTGTGTTTTATAGGTGCGTGCACATGCGAGTGGGGAGGCCGGGGTGATAACAGTGTGTTTATTTTCTGTCCATTCCTCTGTAGCCTAAGCACCAGCTGTGTGTGTCTGTGTGTGTGTCTGTGTGTGTCTGTGTGTGTCTGTGTGTGTCTGTGTGTGTCTGTGTGTGTGTCTGTGTGTGTCTGTGTGTGTCTGTGTGTGTCTGTGTGTGTCTGTGTGTGTGGTATTTAAACCCCCCATTGTATTTGAATTGGAGGTCACACCGTCTGCTGTATTGCTGGAGTGTTCTATTGCTATTCTTGGAACATGCATGCAGGTACACACACACACACTCACATGCGCGCGCACACACACACACACACACACCTCTGTCTGAACACATGCAGGCAGTAAGTGTCATTAGTAGGAAGCTTTAATGTGCCTGTCTGTTAGGGGAACTCTTCAGATGCCCCCGCTGATTTTCTTTCCAGGGTCTTGGGGAGGGGTATGGGTGGAGGGGGGTAGAGGGGGATGGAGTTATGGTTTTGGGGTAGAAGGGGGTGAGGGAATGGACACAGTGGCAGGGGAAATGGGAGAATGAAGGTTAGAATATAGAGGTGTAGTGTTGCACGGTATACCAAAACGGAGGTACTTGAAAAACGCTCCAGTACTAGATTTTTTTTTTTAACTTTCATTTTGTCTGTATTTTTTGTTGTATTTATTAAGGATCCCCACTAGTTCCTGCCAAGGCAGCATCTACTCTTCCTGGGGTCCGGCCAAATTAAGGCAGTTATACAATTTAAAAAAACATTACAATACATTCATTACAGAATGGTATGGAGTATCGCGATGGTTTGGAGTATCGCGATGGTTTGGAGTATCGCGATGGTTTGGAGTATCGCGATGGTTTGGAGTATCGCGATGGTTTGGAGTATCGCGATGGTTTGGAGTATCGCGATGGTTTGGAGTATCGCGATGGTTTGGAGTATCGCGATGGTTTGGAGTATCGCGATGGTTTGGAGTATCGCGATGGTTTGGAGTATTGCGATGGTTTGGAGTATCGCGATGGTTTGGAGTATCGCGATGGTTTGGAGTATTGCGATGGTTTGGAGTATCATGATACTAAACCTGGTATCAGTTTCAAAGTGAAAAATCTGGTATCATAACACTATAGAGGGGGCAGGGAGTAATACTTTAGGATAGGGGTGTAACGGGGGGGTTAGAATAGTTATACTGGCTGGCCTTGGGGGGTTGACATAGAGGGGGACAGGGGGTCAAGGAGGAATAATGAATGATAGGGGAGTGGAAAGGGGGTAGAGGGGTGAGAATGGGTACACTGGTCACCCTCAGGGTGTAAGGTCAGTCGTGGTGTGGAGCTTGGACCCAAATCTGTGCAGTCATTTGGCTCTGGTGAACCCCTAGGCACTCCCCTAATCACCACTCCTCTACCCCCCTTCCTATCGCCCTCTTTCACGCTCCCGTCCAAATCCCTCTATCCCCCTCTTTCACTCTCCCGTCCAAATCCCTCTATCCCCATCTTTCACTCACCCGTCCAAATCCCTCTATCCCCCTCTTTCACTCTCCCGTCCAAATCCCTCTATCCCCCTCTTTCACTCTCCCGTCCAAATCCCTCTATCCCCCTCTTTCACGCTCCCGTCCAAATCCCTCTATCCCCCTCTTTCACTCTCCCGTTCAAATCCCTCTATCCCCCTCTTTCACTCTCCCCCCCTCTCCTATACCTTCCCCTCTTGTCAACCCCCTCCTTTCCCCCTCCCACTCCCCCCTCTCTTTCTCTCAAATGTAATGCTAGAAGAGTGTGTGTGTGTGTGTGTGTGTGTGTGTGAGAGAGAGGATGTGATATGTATGAAAGCTCACATGTATGGCAGCCTAGGGAAACCCTTCACATCGTGACATTTAGATTGTAGTTTTCAGAACTATAAAAACACTGTCCCAAATCCAGATCTTTTGAAATCACTGAGATATCTTTATCAGAACCAGAGTTATGAGCTTTTAAATCTGTACAATAACAGATGCATGTATTTGAATTGGAGTCAAAACAATGTACATTTCAGTGTGATTATGAACCGTCAACAACACATCCTTAAAGAAAAACATGAAAGAAAGATCTGTTTGATTTGACAGGATATAGTGAGCTCCTAAGGTATTGTAAAGGATTGGGACAGTGACAGCTTTTGTTTTGGCTCTGTACTCCAGCACTTTGGATTTGAAATGATACTTTGAGGTTCACCATAACTGTTTAGAAATTACAGCCCTTTTTGTAC